ATTAACTACTAGCTGCTACCAAGGGGCAAAGATACTTATGAACATCTTGCCATACCAAGCTAGTGAATTCAACAGAACATCTCCGGCCGTTTTTGTTTCCTAACAAGATACTGTGAGACTACGGGGGAAATAAGCAGATGTGGGTCTTGTGGGATAACGATTCTTGCCCTGGTTCCTATCATCAGTTAGCTGTGTAATCCTATGGAAAACATTTTAGTTTTTTTTTGCTCCAATTTGCTCAGCTGTAAAATATAAGGATTAAATTTGCACAATCCAGAACTACTTCTTTTAGCCCACGTTATGAATGCTCCTGTCTTCAAGCTCAAGAAAGACCCTTCAGCTACTGTGGAACAGTGTGACCATTTTACTAGCGATCCCATCATATTCATTCCAATCAGACCAAATTCCTGATAATAAATATTCTCTTCTTTAAAGTTTGGCTTTTAGATTATCTCAGAAGACTTCATCAGCTCGTTAAAGGCATGACTTTAGACCACAGTGGTTACTCTCAATGCTGCTTCATGTATTGTTGGTGAATATCCACGCTAAAAAATATATGTACCTAAATCCCTTATATATTGTAGTGAATTATTGGCCAACATTCACACATGCATAATTATGAAATGTCTTGCATCTATTTAAGCCCCATACAAATTCAAAGCTAAAGCGTACTTAAACCACATCCTGATATTATTAATATGATTCCTTTTGTAAAATCAATTTTTATGCATTATTGTTTGTATTCTTAAGCCATAAGAATAAATTGAATTTCTGTCTTAATAATTTGAATCCTTAGTACTCTGATATACAAGTTGTACTGCTCAAAGATTCTACCGTGTTTATTACCATATATACCCTATGCTAAGTTGTCTATGGCTAGATAAGAGTGATGGAAATAAATGACATATTTACAAGCCCCTTCAGAGATTGATTTGATGGTAGGTAATTTTACTGTCAAAAACTAATTTGCTCACATTGTCTGTCTGGTATTTGACATGAATTATAATTGGTATTATTTTGGTTCCATCTCATGTGTTAATTTTCTCATTTGATGTGATTTGCTCCATTTTCCTAATAGCAATTGCTTGGTGAGCTCTCAGAGGTAATGTGCATTTGTTTCCTTGTGGCAGTTCTTTTTCGTACAATGTGTAACGCCTTCTCCGGACTTAACACCCTCCAAATGTCCCAGCAGTGTCTAGTTTTCCCTACAGAGTCCCACAGGGACCAGACTTAGAGGATAAAAGTGTATGTCAGAGTAGGTTAAATATTTAAGTTCAGTTTTAATGTCTCCGTCAGGCTTACTTACTTGCATAATTTCCCCTCTGAAGCAGTATCTTAGGGGTATCAGGAGCCTCTCAATAACTTTTAAATTCTTGAGAATTTCATCTTCCACTTGCTAAAGAAGAGTGTTGACTCATTCAGACATAAACATGAAAAGGAAAGTAATATACATCATTTCAGAGAAAGAGAGTTTGTGTTAAAAAGAATATTACACAACAAATCCCGTGGAAACTAGTGCCTGAGCATGCCAGAAACCTGCCAGAGATGGACAACTCAAATGTTTTCTACTACTAAATAATATCATGGGGAAATTTAAAAGAGAGAGAGAGAGCGAGAGAGCGCGCGCGAGAGAGACATGGTCAGACTGCACCCACCGTGTCAAAGGCAGAAAACGTATGAGACCCCGAAAAGCAAGGCAGTTCCATTGAGTTCCACCTCTGGCAGATTTCAGTTTTGTAGGAGATGACAGGTGAGAATTAGGAGGTGACAGTTCTGTGGTGCAGAACACACCAGAACAACCAACCATCCCAATTTTGCCCTCCATTGAAGGGTTCCTAGGGTGTGTAACTTTCAGACCGGGTTTTCTACTCCTGCAGATGGCTACAGAACCCCGGGGTGCTTCTGCCCTTTCCTCGGGGGTCGCTGTGAGTTAGCATCGACTCTGGCAGTGAGTAACACTATTCAAAGGGGGTAAAGCCCTAGACAAATTGGGAAGAGTTGGTCAAGATTCCCTTTTTAGGGTTTAGGGTGCCCTTGGTTAAGGAGAAACATTTCAGGTTTCAGTTAGGTTCCAAAAGACTTTCCATTGCGCCGACGGTACAGTGGTGGCATCAACTCTGCATTTACAATTAAGAAAAAGAGACAGAAATAATGGAGAAGAGACCGCTAACGGAGGGGTAATTTAAGGGGGGCAGGAAAGGGGAGGATGTGCGAAGGCCTATTAAAAAGCATTTGAAAAGTCAATACTAATTCTGTTACCTCCACACCAAGAATAGCATAAACCAGTCCCCATGAGAGAGTTGCCTTGGCGGCCAGATCGGATCAGGAAGGAAAGGGTTGGAATTAATTCAAGAATGCTAGTTTTTCATCCCCTTTCACTTCCGAGTTGGTAAGCATGAAGCAGGAGAAAAAGGGAAATTATGCAAGTAATACAATATATGGCATACTTAATTAAACAGTTTTCATAATGTTTTCCTTTGAATAAAATATTTACAATTTTACGCATATTCTGTTAGGGCAGACATGCGGCAATGACAGATGAGTGAAATGGGGCTCAGCGTATTTGGTGAGCTTATCTCAGGCTGGACTGTGACAGTCACACACAGTGTGTTTAGTTGTCACAGTATGTTTTGATGGGTAGTGGAACCCTGGATGTTCTTGTTTTATGGAAGCAGAAATATGAGTCATTCCATGGGATGCTGAGCTCATGTCATACTTTGTGGGGAGGCTGTGCTTTAAAAACAGTGATTTAAACTGAGACACTTGGCATCCTAATGTGAGAATTCACTAGCACACCATGAGCTTGGGTGCAGAGGACACTTTTGGCAGGAAACATGGCAATATGCATGAATAAGCTGACGTTGGTGTGTGCTACGTATTATGCTTTAGTGATGTATGTTTGCTGTATTTTGATTGCTGAAAATATTTTATTGGCCCAAATATAAGAAGATTTGGGGGTGGGGGGCATGAAAATAAATAGTAATATTATAAATTGTCAATATTTTTATTATAGAACCTATTGGAGATGTTTTTTGGTTTCAAATGTTTGTAGGGTCAACAGTCTGTAGTTCTAACTCATCCACTCCAGCACTTGCTTGGTGAATTTGACCCCGCTACTTCTTTCTACACGCCCTGCCTCCCTCCACTTCCCTCTTCTCCCACCCCACTCCAGTGGCAGCAGTATAAACATCTCTTTCAGTTCTACTCCCATCTGAGCCATAATAGCCATCTACTCCCATCATAGCCATCCTCTCCTCCTCCCCCGCCCTGCTGTTGAGTGGTACCTTGTGAAGAGTGGACACAGTCCGGCTGCTTTCCCGCTCAGGTTTCCACAGGTGTTAATCGTTTGCTGTGAAGGCATCGCTGATGAAGATTGGTGTGGTGTTTTTTTCAAGTCGTGATCAAATTAAAAGTGTGTTTGTTGTGTATGTTTTTGATCTCTGTGGAAATTGGGAAAAGCTCTCTTAAAATCAATATTTTATATTTGGGCCAATTTAGAACTTGAAAGTCAACATTTTTCTCATTAAGGACCTGATTATCCTAAGGTCTTTCTGATTTTTATATGCTACTCCTTAATGATAAAATAATTTAAATTGTCCTTGTGTAGCATCAAAACTTTACTGCAGTTATAAAAACAAGGCTTCACATCGTTGATTCCAGTTTGTGACCCCCCTGCAGAGATTTTGCCTTTCCACTCCACATCTACTGAATCAGGATCTATATTTTAAAAAGATCCCTCAGTGATTCTTACTGTTCAGATATAGATTCTGATTCAGTCTATCTGCGGGTGAAACTGCATATAACCAGCAGGGAGTCAAACTGGAGTGAACTGGTTTGAAGCCATGGTTACAAGTTATTCTATATCCTTGATAAACATGTGAAATGTGCCTTTGGATCATTGGGAGTCTGTTATGTGCAGTTATCTATTAAAATTATTTTGTTTGAATTTTCCAGCTGTCATGTACATTTTAATAAGGAATGTACATGAATATTATTTCATATTAGTTTAATAGTTATGATTGAAAGCATTTTGTATTTTATTACATCTGCCCTATTAAAGTAAAAATCCCTACCTGACCTGTTTTCTAATATATGTTTATGAGTTGTATTCATAAACAGCTAAACACTGTACCATTACCTTCATTATTCCCCCTAAAAGAGGAAAATTTGTAGTTAAGGTGATGGTAGACATGGTTATACCTGGGAAAATATTAGCAATAGCAGTTAAAAATTATTTATTTTGATGTGTAGTCCCTTTATCTATTTGACTATTACTCCCCCTTAACAAATTACTTGAAGACTACAGATCTGTGGACATTTGAAAAATAAGATATAAATTGATGCTGTACAATATTTGCATTTAGACTCCTAGTGGTATTAGAAATTATTGGTGGAAGTTTATTAATAGCAATCTTGCCCACCCTAGGCATTGGTCATTCCAAATCTAGTTGCTGTGAACCTGCCCCTGACAAACCCAACTGTGAGCTATTGACATCTCCTTGCAACTCCTTAGCGAAGACTTTTGACCTGGAACAAATGTGTTGTGTGTTTGAAAAATGATTAGTGAAAATTATATGCCACAGAAGAAATATCTGGCAGTCTGCTCCCATGGAGATTTCAGCCTAGAAAACGTTATAAAGCAGTTCTACTCTGACACACGTGGTCACTGGGTCGAGCCTGGACTCAACAGCCTCTACTATGGCCTACCGTAGTGATGCGAGTGTGTAAATATATCTGTATGTGTTTATAGGCGAGGAGATTTCAAAAAGTTCATTGGAAAATCCCATTATCTTTTAATATAATTATTTCACAAACTTTTTGAAGCCCTTGTATGTGTTTGTGTGTGTATGTATATATGCATATATTAATATGCATACATAATACACACACATGACCTTATCTGGATTTGTGCAAAAAGTTTACAGGTAAATAGCACAATGTGTTTACTTTGCCTAAGTGTGTATGTTTAAATCTCAAGTCAATTGCTTGTCTTTATGTAGAAACAAAGGATGGAGTATGGTCCAAGACCAACTGATGCTCCCTCTGCTCCGTCGCCCCCTCCAACACCTGCCCCAGCAGTTCCAGTCCCCCTTCCGCCTTCTGCTCCAGCGCCTGTTCCTGTGTCAAAAGTCCCGGCCAATGTCACCCGTCAGAACAGCAATTCCAGTGACAGCGGCAGCAGTATTCTGCGAGATAGCCAGAGGCACAAACAACTTCCTGTGGACCGTAAGTTTCTTCTGTGACGAAAACCACGGAGAAGTGAAATGTTTAGAATTGGTTCTACTGGCATTAGATAACATTAAACACACATAATAGTCCTTCATATCGGCATGGCACTTCAGCGATTATTGTAGAGACTGTCACCTAGTGCCCATCCCCCAAGCGATTCTGAGATGTGGGGATAGCCAGCCCCCCACAGCTAATCATGGGTTCGAGAGACGCAGTTGTACGGTTAAGATATAGGAAGATCATAGTAAAGTCAGAGAAATGGGAGAGATGGGAGAGAGAGAGTAAAATAAAGAAGTCAGACACATTTCATGGGAGCATGCTCACCTCAGCTCCTCTTGGTGGTACACGTGGAGGTGGGGGATGAGCAGGCAGGAGAGAGCTCTCGTGAGGTTTTATTTCTAACCAAAGCTTATATATCTTTGGGGCATGCAAGCCCTCTGATTACAAATAACAGTGTACATCATGAGAAGGGGTTGTAGCGTAGCAATACAAGCAATGGGAGGGGGATGACCTAGGGGTGTACACACAATAGTATAGGGAGGGCATAGGGGTACATATGTGGCAAGATGGGTTAATCCTAGACTCAATATAGTAGCCCAAGCTTAGTCATCCTTGAGTGGCCCGGGTTTGCCTTTGGGCATACCTTCAAGGGAACATTATCAGAAGGGAGTGGACCCTATTTAGGGTGAGTCAGACTATACAGTCTGCTTGCTCTAGATACCCTTAAGGAGAATTACCTCTGACCTACTTTCCTGGACCTCCTAGTGGACAGTCATTTACCATGTGCAGCAAGCAGCGTCTTGGGTTTGGCATATATTTGGGAGAGACAACTTGGGAGAAATCTTTCTGTTTCCCACACTAAGAGACTGGAATTTCTTTCCACTTGCCCCTGTGTCTCTTTCTATATATATATTCCAGCCTATTGTGGGGAGTGAGGGCTGTATTAGAGCCAGGCATACTGAGTTGTAATAGGGAACCCTCACGCACTGGCTGTGACCCAACCAATTTAATAATTCTCTTATACTTCAGTATCTGAAAAGTAGGGGAGAATAATGTAAATCTACCTCATAGAATGGTTGACTATTAACAGAAAGGCTGGTGTTTTGAACCCCCAACACCCAGAGCTGCCTTGAAAGACAGCTTCCAAAAGCCTCCTGGAGCAGGTATGTATACCTCGGGCTGCCATGAATTGAGACAGACGTGATGGCAACAACACCCTTATAATTAGGACGCTTGAATGAGGTAGTGTATAGAAACCATTTAAACAGTGCTTCTTAACCAGCAGTGATTTTGCCTCCCCCTTCCCTACCCTCTCCAACCAGAATGCGGAGAACATTCATTCCTGCCTGAATTACTTTTATTGTCACAACTGGAAGATTCCTACAATACACAGGATAGCCCCAACAGCAGAGAGTTATCGGGCCCCAAAATATCAATAATAGAATGGATGAAGAAGCTCAATTAAGATTAATAGATGACACATTATAAGCAGGCAGTAATCACCTTCATTATCATCATCAATGCTATCTTCATATTCTCCCTGCTCGTCCTCTTTGCTATTCAAATACATGTATATATAAATATACATGAGGAGCCTGGGTGCACTTGTTGGTTAGGTATTAGGCAGCTAATAGGTTGGTTCAAATCCACCAGCTATTCTGTAGGGAATACGAAGCTGTCTGTAAAGACGTAGAGGCTCAGAAGCCTCATTTCGGGGTGCTAGGGCCAGGAATTGACTCAATGGCAGTAGTTCATACATGTATACCTATGTCTGTGCACAACCACAATCATGCTATCTTAATAATATATTCACCTGCCAATAGAAAATAGTGAAATTTGCCTTCCATATTCAAATGTCATGGAATTTAGACTTCAGCTTCGTATTTTCATAAATGTAAATTTGATTTTTCGAATGAATGGTCTCTATGAGATTCTGATTTAAATAAATGAAAGAAAAAGACACCACGGTTGACTTTGGATTATCTTTTTTAGCAGAAGGAAAGACAAACAAGCCAAACCACAGCTATTGTGTGGATCCAATTCACGGCAGCCCCGTGTAACATTTGTGAGCCTGGAATCTTCACAGAAACAAGCCAGCTTCCTCTTTCTCCCCATGTATTAGTATTGACCTAGTGGCTACAACAAGGGGCTCAGGCATAACAATTGTTGTTCCCGTGGGGATGGCCCAGGACCAAGCAGTATTCCATTCTGTTGAATAGAGGGTTGCTATGAGTGGAAACTGACTGGGTGACACCTAACAACAGCTGTAGGGAAATAGTAGGGTAAATAATCTGCAGTATACAATGGTTCCAGTCTGTCCACACCCTTGAAAATATTGGTTGTTTTCTGTTTGGTTGAACTTTGCTATTAAGGCTCATGTGAGATGCGATATCTCGTTGTGAGTTGCATCTCTCTGATGGCTAGTGAGCACCTATATTTTTCACATGTTCGTGGCCACCTGCAGGTCTTCCTTGGGAAAGTGCCTGTTCATGTCTTTTGCCCATTTTTACTTTGGATTATTTGTCTTTTTCTTGTTGAGGTGTTGAAGTTTTTTTATAAATGTTAGACATTAGTCCCTTGTCTGATATGTTGTTGCTTATAAAATTTTGTAGAACTATGTGTGTTCTTTTTTGACTCATTTAATGAAATCTGTTGATGTACATGCATCTTAACTATTGAGAGGTTCCTGTCTTCCATTGTTTGTGTGTTTTCAGTTAGTGTTTGATAGTGTATTTGTGCCATGTATTCTGGCCCCTATGTTTGTCCCTCTTTGTTTATTGATGGCCTTCCTTATTCTAAGTTTTACATTTATATCTTTACCCATCTTTAGTTGCTTGGACTTTGATTCTTTTTTTGGCATGTGGGCATCCAGTTTTGCAAGCTCTGTTTGTTAAAGAAACAATCTCTTCCTCATTTAATGGTGCCCTCTTGTTCTGTTAATCCCTTAGTCTTGTCTCTTAGGGAGCCCTGGTAGCGTAGTGGGTTATTCATTGGGATGTTAACCACAATTCAGCAGGTAAAGCCCACCAGTTAGTTGTTCCATAGAGGAAAGATGAGGCTCCCTACTCCCATAAAGATTTAAAGTCTCCGAAGTCCACAGGGGGTGCCTACTCTCCTGTAGGGTCACTATGGGTTGGACTCGACTTGATGGCAGTGTTTTTCCTTTCTTTTTTATTTTATGCTAGGTTTTGCCTTAACATTTATTTGATCAGAAATTAATTTTGCCAGTCCTATTTTCTTTGATTACCAGTAGCTTGAGACATTTTCCCATTCTTATGAACACATTGGTGGGTCCTATTTTCATGTCCATGCCATGACTCGCTGTCTCTTGACTGATGCAGTAATTCATTTATATTCAGGATAATTATCGATAGATAATTACTTTCATTTTGGTGTGTGTGCATTTGTGTGTATCTGTGTATTTGGGGTGTAGGTGTGTGTATGGTGCAGTTTTTTGGTTCCACGTAATTTTCTACACTCAATCTTACCCAAAAGGCCGAGAAGCAATTCCACATAATTTTCTGTGCTGACTTCATTTCGTTTGTGCATTTTCCCATAATTTGCTTTGCTGCTGTTGTTTTAGTGTTTACTAAATCTTTATGATTTTCCTCTTTTATTTTGGTCAGAAGGTTTATTAATTTTCTTTGCGGTTATCTATAATTTATTAATGTCTTCCTAGGTTAAAACGGTACGGTCTCTCTTGCAACTGACTTGACTTCTTGAAAGAATGTTGTGAGGGTGGCGTCTGATCTCCCCCAACTTCGTAAACAGGAAGGAAGAGCAAACTCAGCATCAGCCCAAGGCCAGTTCCTGTGAGGCCGAGGTCACACACGCCTCAAATCTCCAACCTTCTCTATAGATTCTGGTACCAACCATGCCTTCCACAACACTCTCTTCTCTTTTTTATTGTTTCATAAGTCTTTTAAATAGAAACGCAGAACTTACAGACCATATATATTCAGGAACAGAAATTTTCAGGATACCATTCTTCAGTTGAACAGCTTCTTTCGAGGCTTTCCCCAAATGAGACTTCTTACTCTGGCTCTCTACCTTTCAGCTCTGTCACCTCTTGGTCTTGGCTGTGCTCTGGCAATGTTACAAAGCTATTTTAGGGCTGTTAATATATTCTCAAAGGACACATATCATTTACTCCATTTTAAGACTCAATCTGAAAGTGCTAAGCTCTAGCTTCGTGGGTCAGCTCCCCCAGTTAAGTACTTGGAGGCACCCCACTCATCAGGCAAATCCTTCCTGCGTTCTGGCTTTTGGGTCCGTTGGTGCTGTTCCTCCTCTGTCATCCCTCGTGGGTCACAGCTTCTTGTCCCCAGAGCAGGAGTTTCAATGCACAGGGATCTCTGGGTCTAAAGGCTGCACCAGTAACTCTTCTTGTTCAGCGGAGGTGAGACCCCCCCAATCCCTGCTCCTGGGGTGGCTCGCTTTATACCGAGTCAGAATCCACATGATGGCCATTAGTTTGGTTTTGGAGAAGTAGGTAACTTTAGTGAATTTTCTTCAGGGGTTTACCTCGTTTGGGGTTTGTTGTGCTTCTTGAATGCATATTTTCATGCTCTTCATTACATGAAGGAAGTTTTCTTCCATCAACTCTTCAGCCGTTTCTGCTGGGCCTGATATTTTTTCTTCTAGGTCTTATCATTCATAAATTATTCCTTTTGATAGTCTCCGACATGATTTTTAGATATTCTTCTTCGTTGTTGTTTTTTCTAACACATTTCTCTAGCACATTAGTATTTAGAGATTTGTTTTCAGTGTCACTAATTCATTCTTCCAACAATTTAATTCTGTTCCTTTGCCCACAATGCATCATCCATTTCTGAAATCTTACTATTGATTTAATGGATTTTTATTTGCTGCCTTTGTATGAGTTCTAATTCTTGTCATTTATTTTGTCAGCTTACTTTTGCAGTGTTTTTTGGAATTCATCTGAAATTTTTTTTCCCCCTCTGTTTTCCTTGATTTTGTCTGCAGTTTTCTTGGGA